ATATAATATGAATAAAAGCTGTGTTGGATTTAAAGAAAGATTAGTTGATAAGCTTATGGTTTGCAGTTGGCTAATTAATTTATGTTTACTGCATATGAGTACAATGAGTAATTATGAAGCAAAACATTGTGATTTCCTTGTATCTGAGTCACAGTGAAAACAGAGAAGGTATCTATTTAACCCCTTTCTTAAAAAGCACCATAACGTAGGCAATTTTTTCTGTTTTGGAGGATTGGCACCCATTTTATCCCCAGATGTAAAAGTGGAAGAAATTGAGTCCAGGGCTTCAGTCCTGCCAATTCTGATGATATCCTGATGTCACTGGTCTTGTCCCTTACAATCCCAAGGAAAAGGCCCCAAAATTAAATTGGTCCCCAGATGCAAGGTGTTCCATCTCTAGTTTATACAACTGTTTTAAATTAAAGTCACATTTTCACCTTGTTTAGATGATGCTGTTGGTTGGTCTTCACTTGAGTGTGGAGAGGATGACTCTAGGCCACTGAAAACCTTCCCCCTTCAGATATGGCTGCAACTTGTACCTCAGTGGTTATGCACTGCTTTTGAGTTATGGACTGCATTCCCTCACTAGAAGAGAGAAAATCTGTTTAAAACTGTCTCTTTCACCGGGATTTTAAATTAAAGTTATTAATTCTAACATTAACTTTGGTTTACATTTTAGCTTTTGGATTGTCTTTTCTTTTTAAATTTTGTCAGTAGCCTTGAGTACTTGTTCAAGTAAAAAGGATTATAAACTAAATACGTAAGTATCAAGAAATGTTATTTTGTGGACAATTGTTTTATAGCTTAGCTGATTTCACAATGATTTTGATTGTACCACAGTACAGTATTTAATGTTACATAGCTAGTCTTTTGACCCTCAGCTTTCCAAAGATAGCCAGTACCCCAATCAAGTCCAGATAATTTACCAAACCTTACAAGTAGTAATACATTTTAAGTCTAAAAATTTTAGATCTACTTCCCCCTTCTTTCTTTCCATTTAAGAAACTGATTATTAACAATACTGAAAACAAGCATTCTAAAGTGGATCTCAGCTACACACACTGTTATTTCTCCCATGTAAATCTATTCCATTCTTAACTTGCCAGCTAATAGTTGTCTCTCTTTATTCACTGTTGAAAAATCTCTGGAAAAAAATAACTAAGTGTTACTTATTTATTTTGAAGTCAAAGTAGGTGAACCTGAGGGTACGTTAGTGCCAAACCATACAGGGCTTTTATGGGTTAAAACCAGCACTTTAAATTATACCCAGAAACCTATCAATAGCCAGTAGTGCAAATATCCATAGTGCAAATGTAAGGCCACCACAGTTTGCACCACCTATAGCAGTGGTTCTTAAACTGTTTGAACCAATTACCCCTTTTCCTGGTCTTGAATGATGTCGTTATTCCGACACAAAACAAAGACCCAAGACGAGTGTCTCAGCAGTGGCAGTCCCAAACTACATCCTCAAGTCACAAACAAGGAATTACAAATTGCTCCATTATCCCCAGTTTAAGAACCACTGACCTGTAGTTTCCAAATGATCTTTAAAGGCAGCCCTATTATTATTGTACATTGCAATCATAAAGCTGGATGGTGATGAGAACATGAGTTACTGTAGAAATCCTACTGTTCCAGGCATGGCCACAAATAGTAGACCAGGCAGAGCCAGGCAAAAGCCCTCCTTGCCACAACCTCTACCTGCCTATCTGGCAATAGCTGTGAGGCCAAGAGGACCTTCAAGTCTTGCATCTGCTCCTTCAGGGCAGCAGTACTCCATTGGGAGGTAGCATTGGAATCAGCCAAGGACCTCAGTGAGTAAACAGCAACCCTGTGTCTCGTGGGTTCAACTTCAGTCTGTTTCTTCCCATCTAGGCCCTAACTGGTACCTCCAGACACCATCCCCAACTTTGACTGTATCACCAATGTGACCTGGATTGTTGATGTTCACAGTGGGTAGAATGTGTAATGGTATGTGGGAATGACCTTGGGAGATAAGAGGAAGAGCCACAGACTAGACAACCATCATGCAAAAGGTTTCTGAGACCACAGTAGCAAAAGGGGCGTGGGAAGCATCTCAGAAGGGACTCTCCCTAGTTTCTGGGAAAGTAAAAGTAAAGGAGGGGAGAAATGCTTTCAGACTTGCAAGATTCTGTTACTGTAA